TTTTCATTTTTGACTATTTTCGACCGTCCACACTCATACAATACATATGTGAATTAGTTTTGCTCCACTTCTCAGGTGCATTTTTCAAATTGATGCATTATCAATGAAAACACTCAGCATATTAGTGTGGACAGAAGGCCTAAACTTATCGAAATGTAAGCATTTTCAAACAAAAACACATTAGTGTGGATGGGGCCTTCATTTAAGGAATAAGTGTAAGGTTCATAAAATAACTTTTTTTCTATACCAAGGGTCAGTTTTCAGAGTGTTGTTTAGCACTAAGCTAGAGTTAAAATAAAATTTTCTTGTTTTTAATTTGTGTTTTAATATTTAATGTTAAAACACACATTAAAAACAAGAAAATTATCACAACATTGGAGGAAATGGGACCCAGAATCCTTAGAGATTTTGCACTTTCTTTTTGCCAGTCTGTTACGGATAATATTCTCGAACACATAGTTGGAAGCTGCATCTAAATGAAGTGTAACTTAATTAAACAACAGTTCATAACAATCAGTGCCTTGATGTGTTTATATGTGGGTTATTTTAAATATAAAAATCTGCTGCTAGTCTCCACCGGGCCTCATGCCTTGTGAATCTTGTTTATCCTTTCCCCTCCTACTCAGACCTTTTGAATCGGTGGAAGAAATCCTATGGTGTTACCATTCAAATGAAACCTCTTCAGTAGGTACTTTCACATGGCACTATTTACTTAGTATGTAGTTCTAAATTTTGGATTTGTGGAAGAAATCCTATGGTGTTACCATTCAAAAGAAACCTCTTCAGCAGTATTTTTACACATGGTACTATTTATTTAGTATGTAGTTCTAAATTATAATTTGTCAGACAAAATCCTATGGTGTTACCATTCAAATGATACCTTTTCAGCAGTACTTTCACATGGTAATATTTATTTAGTATGTAGTTCTAACTTTGCATTTATGGAGGAAATCCTATGGTGTTACCATTCACCGGAAACCTCTACAGCAGTACTTTCACGTGGTGCTATTTATTTAGTATGTAGTTCTAACTTTTGCATTTGTGGATGAAATCCTATGGTGTTACCATTCACGTGAAACCTCTTCAGTAGTACTTTCACATGGTGCTATTAATTTAGTATGTAGTTCTAACTTTAATTTGCATTTGTGGAAG